TTCTTGAAAGCACAGAGGCGGAAAGGGATCTTGGAGTCATTATTGACTCCAAGATGAACATGAACTGCCAATGCCAGACCGCAGCCAGCAAGGCCAGCCATACCTTGTCATGCATCCAAAGGTGCATCTCAAGCCGGTCCAGAGAGGTGATCCTCCCCCTCTATGCACCTTTGGTCAGGCCGCAGTTGGAGTACTGTGTCCAGTACTGGGCGCCGCACTTCAAAAGGGATGTGGCCAGCCTGGAGAGGGTTCAGAGGAGGGCCACCCGCTTGGTGAGAGGGCAGCAGGACAGGCCCTATGAGGAGAGACTGAAGGACCTGAACCTGTTCAGCCTCAGCAAGAGGAGGCTGAGGGGGGACCTGGTGACTGCCTACAAGCTCATCAGGGGGGATCAACAGCAAATTGGCAGGGCCCTTTTCTCCCCAGCACCACCTGGGGTGACAAGAAACAATGGTCAGAAGCTGATATAGAATAGGTTTAGGTTAGAGATCAGAAGGCAATATTTTAGTTAGGGTGGCCAAAATCTGGAACCAACTTCCCAGGGAAGTGGTCCTTGCCCCTACCTTGAGCAAATTCAAGAGGAGGTTGGATGATCACCTGTCTGGGGTCTTGTGAACCCAGCATTCATTCCTGCCTGTGGCAGGGGGTCAGGGTAGATGATCTGTTCAGGTCCCTCCTGAGCCTAGGTACTAAGGAACTATGATGGTTTGAGATATCTTTGCAAAAAAAATTTAAAAAATAACATGATTTGATGGAGTATTATGTTCTGCTACATATAGTTTCCTATTGATCCAGAATAAAATATGTTAATTTCATATATTTCCATTTAAAATGTATATTTATATATTTTGAAAACCACTGTGTAAGAGTTGGTCAAAATTTTGCCAAATTATTTGTAGTACACGTGTCCTATCTGATACTTGTTGCAGCAATTCAGATTTCACCATTTCCCCAGACTGCTTCTTCATCTGGGAACCTCATTTCATATTATAGACAACTGCAACTCTCAGATTGAATGACTGGCCAAATCTAATGGCTGTATGGCAATTTTGTTTTCATTTACTGATTGTACTGACCAGAAGCTGCCCAAGCTGCTTCCTCAGTTTGATCTGCATCTTCAGTGATATTATATATAATGACATCACATTCAAGCAGGTGACCTAAGAGTTCTTCTCGTGTAGAAACCTGGAAAAAAATAAAACCTTTATCAGAAGAATAAGCTCCCCTACTAAAAATTCTTTTTCGTTTTATCTTGAATTTTCACTATCAAATTTCTGCTTGACTACTTAAAGTGAACCATCATTTTCCTCTAAATTTGACCTTCAGATGGAAAGCAATAAAGAAGTCCTGGTATGATTCAAATATGAAAAATAATTTACCTTTAACACACAAGTTAGCGAAGTTCAAGAATCAACATACTAGGATGAGTTTTTAAGATGGGACATTCTGGTGGTGGGGCGTTTTGTTTTACAACTTTTACTTGTTCTTTATTTATATCCTGCTCTTGGTGTTTTGGGGAATTTTTGGTTACTCACTTCAGTGATAACGAAGTTGGAAAGTATGTGTGTGTGTGAAGACCCTCTACTGGTTGTTTGTGGTTTTGACTTGTGGAGAGGATTTGTTTTATGTAACCTATAGTCTCACCCAGGTTAAGGTTGCAACCGCAATTCCATTAAAAGGTTGATCTTCTGCCTCTGGTAACTCCATGAAAAATAAATGAAGACAGTCTCAGTATTTAGACTTCTAAACATTATGGAAATTATTCTGCCTTTTCAAATCAAAAGAATGAAACATGGTTCCTTTTTTTCTAAAAATGTAATGCTCAAGCATTTTTTTGCAATATTCATAATGTTGTATGCACAAAACAAAATCATATTAAGGCTTAAATCCTGCCAGATGCAGTGTGTGGGTGTAAGGATTTGTCTTCAAGATGAAATTTAGAAATAGACTGTATTTATAATTATGAAAAAAATTCACAGGAATTTTGTTATCAGAATTAGAACAGAATTTCAACTACCAAGGAAACAGACCCATTACTACCCACTATATCAGAGATTCGCAACCTCTTCTAAGGTCAAGGCACCACTCAAAAAATGCCTGCTCCTAGTTTTCATTTGTTCTTTCACTACAGAAAAATAATAAAACAATTCTTCTGTTGCAAAGAACTTGGAAAGACTACAACTTTAATGCTAAGGATTCCTATTTAAAATTCTAGGTTTATCTTGTAAATTATATGTTCACATCAAACAGTGCCGTGATAGTGTGACGTCCTTAAAAGGATCTCAAGAAACCCCAGGGTGCCATGGCACTCTAGTTGAGAATCAGTGTACTAGATTATGCTATCTTCTAAATTACTGTTTCAAGTAACTGAATTTAATTATGTCAAATGTGAAGACATTTTCAATTTATTCTCATTTGTAAAATATTTTGCAGTGCATTGTACAGCATTGTGTTGGGGCTAAACAATGCCAGTCATAATGGGCATTTATACACATACTTGTTCGTCCCACAACGCACCGGAGATCTGCTGCTTTGAAGCAGACTCACATATCGAGTCTGCTCCACACACGAGTTCAGGTGAACTGTGCTGTGCTGTGCCACATGCAGTTGTAAAAGTGGCAAAATGTGCATCAGCACACAGAAAATGGCAGTGGTGCACTTTTGAACTAAAGCACCTCCGATGTGCTTTAGTTCAAAAGCATGCTCCCACCATTTTCCCAGCGCTGATGTGCATTTCACTGCTTATACAGCTGTAAGAATTGCAGTGCTGGGTGCTTTTCAAAGCACCCGGTGCAGTAGTGGTTGCATGTGTAAAAATGCCATGTTCTCATTGGCAGACAAGGTTCCTTGGGTGAATTTGATATCTTTTATTAGACCAACCCAAAGAGTTGGAGAATAGTTATTAAGCAAGCTTTTGAGTTCAAAAACCCTTTGTCAGGCTAAGGAAGTTTCAGCAGTTGGTGTGTGCTCTTCCTGGATGGAATGAAAAGTAAAGAAGCCAGGGGCTGGGCTGGGCTGGGGAGTCAGTTGCCAGGCAGATTATAATGTATCAAAAATCCCATGTCTATATTTAGTCCCTGATCTCTAGTATCCAGGAGGTTGATGAAATGGAGCTCATAGGCTCGTCTCTGGGAAGCGTTGTGTAAATTTGCCTTGAGGATCAGGACTGAGAGATTGGAGAGAGAGCGGCCCTCCTGTGAGAAATGTGCCCCCACCGGTAATTGGGTATTTCTGTCTTTGATGGATTTCCGGTGTGCGTTCATTCTGGTGCGCAGTTGTTGTTTGGTCTCTCCTA